TGTTTCAACAAACTGGGTAGTTTGAAAATAAAATGGTTTCCTATCTAATCCTAATGTAATCCACACTCACCCAATGGAAACATATAATGGGTGTTGAAAAAGAGACAGCAAAAATGATTATCCTAAAAAAAAAAATGATTATAAAAGTTATACAGAACAGATTTTGAGGAATGAAGTAGCAAAAGAATTTTTATAGCACTTCATGGTAATTTTCCCTTTAATTAAGCTGCATGGTTTCCCTTTTCAGGCTGTACCCACCAACACAAAGTTTGCACGGTTCCTAAATTATTTGGTTTCAATTCCCTCCATTCGATAAATGGAGCGAAAATGACCCCATGGCTGAATTTGGTTTACAAGGTGGTCTGGTTTTAGAAACAAACTGGAATTAAAAATAGTCCTTTACTATCATGGAAGAAAAGAGGAAATGAAACTATAGCATAGTCTTTCTAAATATCCAAACTGTCACATAGATATTGAGGAAATATTAGGAAGATGCCTCCCCTCCCCACTTTGGACACTGGGGGGCAGTGTTGTCACATGAAACTCCTCTGCACTCAGTGGGGGATGGGCTAGGGAATAAAACAATCCTCTTTAGATATTCTCTCTTTTCTGAGACATGATTTTTTTTATTACTGTTTCCACAATAGTTCAATGAAATCTCTCAGGAAAATTTCACATGTCAGGAGGATATAATCCTCACCGTAAAGCCCAGAATTTTTGATAAAATGCTGTATCATTGGTGTTTGTCTCCAGAGGAAGTTTCTACAACGTATAACGGTGCCTCAGACCTTTGTTAAAAATGAAAACTACACGAAGGGACATTTTAATACACGCACCCACACAGACACACACACACACAGACACACACAGACACACACACACCTCAGGGATGGGTTTCGGCAGGCACTACTGCCGGTTTACTCATGGACATGCTGTTTATGCATTTGATGTGTTCTGTGCACGTATGTGCAGTTTAATAAAAAATGTTTTGCACATGAGAAGAAATGAAAAAGAGGCTGGTGGCGCCTATGATGCTGCCCAGAGAACCAGTTCAGGGGCATGGCAGGCCTGGGTCACTGCCAGTTCCAGCCAAACCATTAACGCTTCAGCCAAACCGGTCAAAACCGGTAGGAAACCATCACTGATAAACACTCACCGAGAGTATTTATTCCTCATTGTGAAGCCATGGCTGAGCTGAACATTAAATATGATCCAACAGTGTGTGGTGGCAGCCAAAAAAGCCAAGAAAATCGTAAATTGCATTAACAGAGGGCTCCAATCAAGATCACATGAGGTAATAATACTAGTCTATAAAGCCTTATAGAACATTGCATCCAGTTTTGGTCACCAAACTATAAAAAGATGTTGAGACCCTACAAAATGTTTCAGAGAAGAGCAACAAAGAATATTAGGTGACTGGAGGCTAAAACATATGAAGAACGGTTGCTGGAACTGGGTATTTCTCATTTAATGAAGAGACGGACTAGGGGAGACATGATAGCAGACTTCCAATATCTTAGGGGTTGCCACAAAGAAGAGGGAGTCAAACTATTCTCCAAGGCATCTGAAGGTAGAAAAAAGAAGCAATGGGTGTAAACTAATCAAGGAGAGAAGCAACCTAGAAATAANTATAATCCTCACCGTAAAGCCCATAATTTTTGATAAAAGGATGTATCATTTGTGTTTGTATCCAGAGCAAGTTTCTAGAATGTACAGCGGTGCCTCAGACCTTTGCTGAAAATGAAAACTACACGAAGGGACATTTTAACACACACAGACACACACACAGACACACACACATACACCAGGGATGGGTTCCGGGAAGCACTACTGCCGGTTTACTCACGGACATGCTGTGTACGTATTTGATGTGTGCTGTGGGCGTATGTGCAGTACAATAAAAAGTGTTTTGCACATGAGAATAAATTAAAAACAGGCTGGTGGCATCTATGATGCTGCCCAGAGAACCGGTTCAGGGGCATGGCAGGCCTGGGTCACTGCCAGTTCCAGCCAAACCATTACCGCTTCAGCCAAACCGGTCAAAACCAATAAGAAGCCATCACTGATAAACACTCACCGAGAGCATCTATTCCTCATTGTGAAGCCATGGCTGATTTGAAAATTAAATATAATCCAACAGTGTCCGGTGGCAGCCAAAAAAGCCAATGCAATCCTAAACTACATTAATAGAAGATCACATGAAGTAATAATACTACTCTATAAAGACTTAGGGAACATTGCATCCAGTTTTGGTCACCCCACTATAAAAAGATGTTGAGACTCCACCATGTGTGCAAAGAGCAACCAAGAATATTAGGGGACTGGAGGCTAAAACATATGAAGAACGGTTGCAGGAACTGGGTATGTCTCGTTTAATGAAAAGAAGGACTAGGGGAGACATGATAGCAGTCTTCCAATATCCCAGGGGTTGCCCCAAAGAAGAGGGAGTCAATCTGTTCTCCAAAGCACCTGAGCTTAGAACAAGAAGCAATGGGGGGTAAACTAATCAAGGAGAGAAGCAACCTAGAAATAAGGAGAAAGTTCCTGACAGTGAGAGCAATCAACCCATGGAATAGAAGTTGCCTTCAGAAGTCGTGGGAGCTTCATCACTGACGGCTTCAAAGAAGAGACTGGACTGCCATCTGTCAGAAATTGTGTAGGACATGTTCTATCTTGAAAATATCTCCTTCCAAACTTTTTATTGCACGTCCACACACTTGTGCATGT